TCTCTCTCTCTCTCTCTCTCTCTCTCTCTCTCTCTCTCTCTCTCTCTTATATCGAGATTTAGGCATGTTAGATGTTATCAATCAATCCATTCTACATTTCAATCTGCAATGGTGTGATAAATCATTGACATCATTTAAAAGAGACAAAAATAAAGTCAAATTAAAATATAAAATGATTGTGTTAGTGTGAAATTACAAATTCTGAGGTTTGAATCAACAGCAGACATCACGAACAATTTCCAGAGCTTTATTGACTTTTGCAAAAGCCGGCACCTTGTCCTTTTCTGGGTGGAGGCACAAGGGCAATGAGACAAATAATTGTATAGAGTTTTATACACTCAAGACCCCAAAACCTCCCACCTTCATCACTGCCCCATTGGTTAAAATGAGCATCAGAAGAGTCTCTGATGCTTATTAGGATGAAGCCTGGGTTCACAGTCTAACTCCATAGTAACATGCTTAACAATCATCTATTTAGCATTTGCTTAATAGTTGCTGCATCCTGCCATGATTACACTAGTATCTTTTCTGGGTCATCATGACAACTATTCTCAAATAGACTTCTGCTTAAGCTTATGCTGAATGGATTTCATCTCGTCAGCATTTCTGTGTGTGTTAATGTTTTACCAGGGTTTTTAAGGTTATATAAAAGAGAAACATAGAAGAGAAATATGTTGATCCTTTTACATTTTTCTTTTACATGAATAATTATTTCTTCTTTTTTATTTCTCACATTAGTTAGCAAGTACAACAATACTACAAAGTCCATTTTGTTGATACTATAAAGTCCATGTTGTATGGCCTTCAATAAAGGTTATATTTTTAATGAACAAATGATTCTTAGTAACAAGGACTTTATGTTGGAACTTGATAGTATTGATCTCAACAGAGCATTTGAAATGAGAATCAGAATATTTAAATACACATTGGCTATTGCATTACTGCTACTGAACCAGCTTTCATTTCTTTTAGGTTATTTATTCCAAGGAATTTAAATATTTTGATCACGGCAAAAAGAACAAAGCTGTATATAACAGAGTAAGGATGCTATAAACAGTCCCACAAGAAAAATACAAATTATTGAAATTTGACTTTTTAAAATATGTCCTGTATCTTTTTTCCCCTGGATTTTATGTTTATTTATAAAAATAAACATAATCTCTGCTCAATGTTGCTTTTCTTAACCATTTTATCTCATCCACATGACTCATAGGTATAATTTATATGATTATCAGTATTAACCATAGTCTTCATTGTGTATAATTCATTTTCTAAGAGAGAATTACTCAGCCTGATAATACTTTAGCTTTGGGCCCAAAATCTCTTATATAGTGAGGAAGAAAACCCCATCGATCTAACTTAAATTTGTTGTTGCTTTGCTTGTATACACACTGAGTTTTGTGCCTCCATCCACAACTGAAGTTCTTTAGAAGAGAGGCAGAGAGAGATACCAGCCAGCCTGTAAGTTGTGCCAGTGTTTTTGATTATATCAGAGAGAAATTTGCCTCCCAGCCTGCACATAAGTCCAGTACAGTTCCAAGGAGGTTGATGAATCTTACAGAAACTGACCAAATGGCAAAAGCACCTTGATTTCTTAGACTTTGGAAGAATAGTCTTCCTAATATCCTGAAATAGTTCTGCTAAGTTGGGTTTCATCAGCTGGAAAGGGCAACTGACTTCACCTGATCAGCTGGATACAGAATCAGACAAAGGATGCCAATACCATCCTTTGAACTGATCTGAGTCCTCAGCTGCAGGAGAATCATGATTTCAGGAATTTAGAAAGCACACTAAGTAAACTCAGCCAAAGAACACTGACAAAGCCATTGTTGATAGGATTCCCCTAACTTCATCCCCTTGCAATTTCTAGAAAAAAAATTTTTTTTCATTAAAATGGTAGCTATGCTAAATATGCTACCTCCTTGTGCAGAATGAGTAAGTTGTTGCATCTTATAAATCTCTGTATTTGCTATGGCAGGAAACCACCATAATTCTGATTTCTTTTGAACTATCAAAATGTCTCTTCCGCCTCCTACCCTGCGTATAGCAGATTACAGAATCAAATTGTGCAGTGACAAGAGCATAAGTGACAGCATGCAATGCCCCCTGATCCAGGAAAACTTGCAATTGTCACCCAAGATCATGGTAGGAGCTGCAAGTTATGAAGCAGTTCTGTCAAAGGATACCCTGTTCAGAGTAAAAGATGGTACATCTTTAGAGCCATTATCTAAAATTCAATAATATTAATTATAGTTTGGCTTTTTAAAAAGAAATTCTAGAACACATAAGCATGTTTAATAGTCTATTATATAGAGTCACATATAGAATTGGTACTGCAGCAGATCGCCATTTATATTACAGCTGTCAACCCTGAAGGTGAAGTGACTGAGGCCATTTTGAAGCTTCAGTATTGCCACACTGGAGGGATAGGGGGTGGGAAATAGAGATAGAGAGGCTTGTAGCCAAAACAAAATACTTTATCCTGAGCTCCAAGGAGGCCGGGGAGAGGAGGAGCAACATCAACTGGCAACCAGACAGGACCTTGATTGGACCATGTGATTGACTGGGAAAAGGGAGAAACTTTTACTTTTAATTAGGTGAAAACCGCAGGAATACTCAGAGTCGATTTTCACCAGCTTATGCCAATACGATATGTCCAATAAACCAATTATTTGAGGAACCTACTTGCCTTGGAGCTCTGTTTATTATGGATGTATTACTTGGAATCCTGACAACAGAGTTATTGCTCAGAAGTAGTTTTGCCTATAATCTTTTGATGATGGGGATAGGGTGAAAATATTAGTTTCTAGGGCCTGACATTTCTGAAGTAAAAAATACCTGAAAATGCAATTGATCCATGAAAGCCATTGCTCTTTTTTCTCTTTTCATCAACAGACAACACCTCCATTTTATAAAATTGAAGATGTTATAATACCAGTGGCTGTGTGGAGTGGAGGAAGGGACATTGTTGCAACAAAAAAAGATGTTGAATTACTGACTTCTCGAATCACACATTTGGTTTTCTATAAGAATATTCCTGACTGGCAACATATGGATCCTATCTTGGGCCTGGATATTCCACAAGAGCTATATAATGATATACGCAAACTAATGCAGAAGCACTAGGTTTAATTTTAGAGGTAGAACGTAAGGAAGAAGCTGAACTCTTCAAATCTAAAGTTTAAATTATATTGAAAAATATAATATGTTAGAAATTAACTTTTAAAGTAAACTATGTTATACATGTACTCAAAGTTATATGCATGCAAACATTTCCCAGTCTAAATAACAGGAAGTTCCAGGTTACATTAGATTGGCCAGAAAGATTAATTTGAAAAAAAGTAGTTTAAACTATATGAAAACAAATTGTTCTGTTGAGCAGTTAGCTGGTATTTATCAACATTCTATGAGCATTTTACTCATTTGAATTTTACTTGTATTTGTAATGTTAGTTCTTGCTGCATTTACATTTTGTAAGAAATTCATGTTTGTTCATTTTCAAATTCAGATTGTGCAGAATTTATTCCAGTTTTAAAACAAGGTTTTACCTTTTAGTTTTAAGTCTTATGAAATTTTTTTGAAGAACAATGGTCTTTTATAAATATTGTGTTTATTTCAGGCTATTTTGTCACTTGTAAATTTCTATTATTACGCATATGTTTTTTTTTTTTTGCTATTAAATAAGTAGTCTTCCATTGATCAATCAAAAGATCAATTCAATGTTCCCTGGAAAAGCCCTTAGAAACCTGCCTCCCCATCAGCTCCTAAGGCCATCTGTACCCAAGAATGGGCAAACTGATTGTAAAAAATCTTCTGAGTGAGTGTCTCTTTGTCCTCGTTTGTGTCCTGTGGACAGATCATTAAGCAGTTTCAAGCATTATATGTTTGATCGGATGCTTTTAAATTAAAAAGTTGACATTTTCGTTGAATTGGTGCTTGAAAGTGTGCTTTTTTTTCTGATTGATTTCTTTGGGAAGCCAGTTTTTTGATATGCATACTACAGAACTAATATTTGTTCCTTTCACATCTCTTTAATTTCACTCCTTCCAGTATTAATGCATTTTGTTTTTTTCCTTTTTATCCGAGGGTAAATAAAAATCTAAAATAGTTTAGGATGCTTTAACTATATGAATTAAAAGAATTGTATCAGTCAGGTGAGGGCAGGCACCTCCAATCTGCATGGGTTTTTTGGGAGACATTATCTCAAGCATAGGTATATGATCTTGTGGCCTGCTAGTGGCCAGCGGAGGTGGTGGTAGACTCACAGAGTGAGAAGGTTGGGGAGGAACATGGGCCAGTCCTGGAGTCTGGAGAAGGCTCTGACGAGTGCTCTGCATCAGAGGCAGAGATGGGGCCAGGGCCATCTGACAGTCATCAGCTGCCTTTGGAGTCAGAGATCATTGAGGCAGAAGAACAGCAATGCATGCGCAGAGCTTCCAGGAGAAGGGAATAGTTAAGGAACAAGGGTTGACTCAGGAGTAAAGGCTCAGGTGGACAGTGAATGACCTCTCCCATAGGGAATAAAGAGGAGTAAAAGGGGAGTGATGTTTGCAGAAGACAATTCATTCATTTAATTAGGGTGAAGATTTGTTCATGACTCCTTGTCAAGTAATTTCTGGTACAGCATTGCTTTTGGAAGTTATTGGCTTGGCAACTCTCCAAGCCTGATAAGGTCTGTGGTTGAAAATCTCTCTTGAAAGACTGTTTGCCAGGACTTTGCTGGATGTGAATGATAGGAATTCACATTAGCCTAATAAAAAGGGGTTTTGTCAGGAGGAGGAGTCTGCTTCGTTATTTTGTGAAGCCTAGGTCAGAACATATGCAGAGGTGAGGGTGAAGATTTGTTCTCCAAGCTTGTTGATTAGTTTCCAAACATTTCATTACCAGGCTAGGTAACATGTTGAGTGGAGTTTAGGGGATGTCATTTCTTCTGTTTACAAGGGCTTCATGTGATCAGTAGGTCTTGGGATGGTGAGTTCACATCAGGTGAGTAACCCATCAGGTCAGGGTCTTATGATGGTCAGGTGTCAGTCACCAGTGGGAATCTTGTGAAAGGGAGGTTTCATCAGGTGAGGATACTGTTGAATATTCAATGGGGAAAGTCAGTGATGTCAGACTTTCCCCATTGGTTCATTTTCAGGGCAGGAAAATGAACAGCCATCAGTGGCTGAAGTTTTGGACAGCGACCTGTAAAAAGAACAGCAGGGGCTCTGCAGGGCAGTCTTTTAAATGGAGCAGAATAAATGGAATCTTTTTTACCGCTCCCTGTTGTTCTGCCTCTTCGATCTACGCCATATCTAACAGGTACCACCCACATAGACAGAGGTGCTACAGTCTTGACAATAGACTTGTTAGCTGGAGCTCTAACTTTTTGCTGTTGTCGATCTCCAATACCAATGCAAACACAGCTGAACTAATTCCTGCATTGTGCTTGGGCATTCAATTCTTGCTAGCACATCTAGAACTTGATTTGCCAGTCCTTCCTGAAATTAGTCCATAAGTACTGCTTTAATCCAGGTCAGATTTTGAGAGATTAGCTGGAAAGAATTTACATATTCAGTTACTAAGAGCATCCTTATTTCTATTTTTGAATATGGCTATTCGCTGACTAAATTATCACAGAGTCAGAATGCATGACATAGATCTGTTGACTAAATTTAGCAAAATTGTCTGGCAAATGACTCTGTTAATAATGATATGACCCATCTAGCAGAATTTCCGGATTAAAGGCACATTATAAACCCAACTAGATGACTTTGTGCTTGAATTATTAATTGTCCATACATGCTCATATAGAGATTGCATTGTGCCTAAAATTGAGACAACTTCCCATAATTTCTTTTTGAGATTGGCAATTGGGCATTTTCTGGAAAAGTTTCGGAGATACTACTACTGTTTGCACTCGCTAGGCATGTAATGTTTGCAGCTTTACATGCAAGTTGTTCTATGCTGTTTGTTTTTCTGCAGCAAGGCCATTACCAAAAATGTCTCCTTCCAGTCAGCCAAGAGTTAATGAGACTGGAAACAAATTGGAAAGAAACAAAGTGTACAGCGGCAACCAAAAAAAGCCAATGCAATCCTAAATTGCATTAATGAGGGATACAATTAAGATCAAGTGAAGTACTAATACTACTCTATAAAGCTTTAGTAGGACCACAACTAGAATACTGCATCCAGTTTTGGTCATTACACTATAAAAAAAAAGACATTGAGACTCTAGAAGAAGTTCAGAGAAGAGCAACCAAGATGATTAGGGGACTAAAAGGAGGCTAAAATATATGATGAATGGTTGCAGGAACTGGGCATGGCTAATCTAGTGAAAAGAAGGACCATGGGAGACATGATAACAGTCTCCCAATATTTGAAAGGCTGCCAGAGAGAAGAGAGGGTCAAGCTTTCCAAAGCACCTGAAGGCCAGACAAGGAATAATGGATGGGGTTTCCAGGTTGAGCCCTCCTTGCTGACAAACCATAAATCGCGATCATCCATGACTATGGCCCATGCTCTTTCGTCGGAGACCCCCAATCATTATGATTAGGGGCTGAAGCTGCCTCGGAGGGACAGTGGAGAAAGGGGAAGCCGCCAGCCAGGTTGAGGGGAGCCGCATCTCCTCCACCTGGGCTTGGCAATTTTTCCCCCTGAAGATGACTGAAGTGGTGGTCTAAAATGGCCACCCTGAAGAGGAGGACTCAGTTGGACTAAGTTTGTGCAGGAGTGAAGAAAGAGGTGGATAGCATGTGAGCCGGGACGATTGGGCACAACTACTAAATAAAAGGTACCCTGGGATTAATGTAACAATGAATTTTTAGAAAAGAAAGTGGCGGAAATACAAAGGGAAGGAAAAGAAAAAGAAAAATAATTTTGACAGCTAAACGGGGCTTCAAACCAGGAAAGGAAGAAGCCAGAACAAGATACTTAATTAAATTGGATTAAAGTATTTTGGCAACAGGCATAAATTAAAGCTGGACTTAAGAGTGTCAAAAAAATTGGGGGGACGGGGCAAATATACAAACTGGAAATTTGATTGTATTGGAATATTGAGGCTCAAAAAGCCCTGAATAATAAAACAGGGAAAAAGGTGAAGACTTTGCAGAACGGAGAGTGCCATCTTGTGGACAAAAAATTAAATTTAAAAATAAAAGGAAAAAGATCCTGTTTCTTTATGAACTTGAATTGATACAATGTAAAGAAATATTGAAACAATAAAGCAACAAGCCTAGAAAGCGAAAGTTGAACTAGAATAAAAGAAGAAGTAGAAAAGATTGACTGTGGAACTAATTGGTGATTTTGGTATAGACCCAGTGTTGGAATAATTGTGAATCTAGAAAGCCTGAAGAAGAAAAAAGGAAAATAAAGGTTTTTGTGGGTTTCAATGATTATAAGATATGTGCAATGATGATATCTATTTGGGAACTAAAAATGGAACTTAAAAATATGAAGGAATTACTACAGAAAAGAGGTGAATCACTTGGCTCTGTTTTAATGGAAATGGTGACTGAAGAACATGAAGAAAGAATTTCAGAGAAGGAGGAGTTAGTTCAAGCAGCAGCCATCTTAAATAGACAATTAACACAAAGAAGAGGGAAAAGAAGGGGGGGTTAAAAATTTGAGATTCAAGAAGGTAACTAAAAAGGGGAATACCTGTGAAATTAGGAAAGGCAGAAAAGAGCAACAGAAAAGGGGAAAGGAAGATACAAAGGAAGAGGGACACAACCTGGAAGGAGAAAAGATGTGGGAAAATGAAGGGGAAGAGAGGTAACGAGAAACAGGAGTAGGAAATAAAGAAATATGGGAATTGCAAAATAATGAGAAGAAACTGTTTATTTAGAAGACATAGAGATAACGGTTAATGAATTAAAAAGGGGGGGATTCCTCATGGAGATGTGGGGTAATAATGTATTTGCAATTACAAAATATTTAGAAAATAGGGAAATATAGATTATTAAAAGGAGGGATGGACACTGATATTCTTTACTAGATGATTGTATATCTTTATTCTTATATTTAAAAGAAATGTTAATATTTATTAAATAAATTGAAATAATTGAAATTAACTGTGAGATTGTTTAAAAATGAGATTAATATCAGTGACCAGGATTAATTAAATGGACTAATTGTTTTTTTTTTCCTTATCTTTGTTTTGAAACTATAAATAAATTCCATGAATTTAAAGGGGAAAAATACATTGTGGAATCTGACTGAAAAGATATATAATGTTATGTAGTTTTTTTAGGGAATGACTATTTCTATAATTAGTTAAAAATAAATGTTTATTGGGAGTTAAGGTATATTTTAACCACTGAAGTGACACACTCAAATTAGTAAAAAGGGGGGGGAGGACTTATGTTTTTTTTTCTCTTGTATAAATTTAGAACTTATGGAAAGAATATGCGATGAAATTGCAAATCTGACAGATAAAAACTATTTAAATGAGAAAAGAGTATTTTGGAAAAGGTAACAATAAAAGTATTTGTAATTATAAATGTCAGTTAATAGAGTAATATAGATTATTAAGAGGAAGGAGGGGCATTGATATTTTTTATTAGGCTAATGCATATTGTTATTTTTATTTTTAAAAGAAATATTAATGTTTAAGAAATATATTTGAAATAATTGAAATGAAATGAGAGGATGTTTAGATTGAGACCAATATCAGAGACCAGGATTAATTTGTCCTTTTCTTCTGTAAAAGTTGGAATGGAAAAGGTAATAATAGAACTAAGTAAAAATTGGATAAGATAGGAAGTTGAATGTAAAAAATGAATATATAACTGTTGTCATATTTGCATGGTGACCTGGGAATATGTTGTCCACTGAAAAGAGCCTTTTTGTTTTGTAATTCATGTGAAAAACTGAATAAAACTTATTTTTTAAAAAAAGGAATAATGGATGGAAACTGAACAAGGAGAAATTCAACCTGGAAATGAGAAATTTTCTGACAGTGAGAGCAATCAACTAATGGAACAGCTTACCTTCCAAAGTTGTGGGAGCTTCATCACTGGAAACTTTCAAGAAGAGACTGGACTGCCATTTGTCAGAAATGGTGTAGGGTTTCCTGCGTGGGCAGGGGGTTGGACTAGATAACCTACAAGGTCCCTTCCAACTCTTGTTAATCTGTTAAATCTGCTGTTTTCAGTTTAGAGGTAACAACATTAAAAAACAATATACAGTCTGTTATAGTCACTTGCTTAAATCACAGGTGTCAAACTCGATTGCATCATGTGACATATAGTGACATATTTTTTGCCTTTGTAAAGCTAGGGAGGGCTTGGACTACATGTGACACATCCATGCAGTTTGACAGCCCTGGTCTAAATGGTTAGCTTTATAACAAGAGCATGCAGAAGTATAGTCCAAAATCAGTCTAGGGTTCCAAGAGCTGGATCAGAGTTGTCAGCCACTCCAGAAGTCAGAATTTCACAAGCAGAATTCACATGAATTACCATATAAGAGCCAGAGATCAGATGGCTGTTTCCAAAAAATAATTGTGATGACCCAGGGTGGGATACAAACTAAACACAGTCACAAAAACAGGTGAAGCCCCCTTTATTCCTTCACTTTGCTTCAGAGCTCCAAATATCCTTGACTGGAGACAAAAAACTCCCCCACAAGCAGTTACAAAAAGGAGGAAATGCCATTTAAACTAAAACTGCCTATAAATTATAAAGAGTAAAAACAACACAAACCACTGAAGCAATTAAGGGAACCAGGCAAGATAAGGGCTTGAAGTCATCCACAGATATTGGAACACACACTGGGAAGGATGCCAAACTCAGAGAGGAATGACAGACTGGAGATATTTCCATGCTTTGTTTCCAGCACTGGCCCATAGGCATGTCCATCCTTTTAACCAGTTCTCACAGCTGCAACCCTTGAAGAGAATCAAGGCCCTTTCCTCCCCCATAGACCATGCCATTCACGTGTTTCCCTTATCCTTTCCTCCCTGCGTGCCCTAAGATGGAGAGAGGATGGGCCTGAGTCTTCCTCTGACTGCCCAGCCAGCCTCTGCCCTTCCCCAGCCTGCTCTACAACCTCCAGAGCCATACTTCCACTCCCTGTTGGCGGTTCCTCTTCTCCCTTGGAGTCAGTCTCCAACAGGGCATGACAGTAATATGGATCAGTGCTATCTGTTAAATCAGGCTGCAGTCAGCTATCATTACTCAAGAAATTTATTGCTTCTTTGGCAAGAATTCTCTGTTCTCTTTACTCACCAGTTGCATTCTCAGCTGACTATTCTATGATGGGTCATATAGTGCCTGGTTTTAATCAGTCTCATGGTATTCTTGGCTTTATGTCTCAGAGGCCACAGGTTCTGCTGGAGCCTCTTCAAAGTTAAAAATCATTGTCTGAGTCCTGGCCCATGACAATTTAGGCCATTGAATTCAATCCCCTGCTTAGTACTAGAATGTTCTAATCTAGTTTCTAAAAATCCTCCTTTAAAATATGGTCATCAAACTGGGCACATTACTGACCAATGTGGAATAAAGTGAAACAATTAGCTTGTTTAATTCGAAAACCATACTTATGTTAATAAAGCCTTTTTTTAACTTTTAAGAGCCACATCATATTGCTATTAATAGTATATTCCATTTGCAATCAATTGGTATTTCAAGATCTTTTTCATAAGTACCATTAATTCTGATAATATACTAATAATGTATTATTAAGGTATCCTTCCAACTATAATTGTGGTTTTGGTACCATAATAGCCACATTGTTGGGTGATTTCAGAATATCCCATCTACTATTTTATTTCTCAATAGGTCAGTATCAGAGTGATTCACCTGTATTTTCTCAAATCCTCCTTTTACCCCTTTTCTAGGCCAGGGCTGTCAAACTCCCACCCATGGGTTGGATGCATCACATGCTGGCCATGCCCACGCCCAGTTTAATGAAGGGACAATGTGAGTTTGACACCCCTGCTCTAGACTTTCTAAATTGATTGATTGTTTATTTATTAGATTTTTTTTTATCCCACCTTTATTACTTTCTATGTAATTCAAGATAGCAAACATACCTAATGCTCCGTTTTCCTCTTCTTTTTCCTACAAGAATCCTATGAAGTGAATTCCCCTGCGAGTTGGCCAACTGATCCAAAGTCTGATTTCCATGCCTAAGGCCTTCATTGGTTTACTAGTTGTTTCTGGTTTCTAGGCCAGTACCTTAACCACTTACTGGGTCTCAAGGACTAGTTGAATGAAATAGTGGGAATGGAAAAAGGACAATGAAACCTGCCTTTGATCAATTAAGTGCCATTGCAATCAAATTATCTTTTATGTGTCACAAAGTGACCATGCAAAATTATTCTTTTTCCATAACAGTCTGTCCTTCAAGTCTTCCAAGGTTCCCTCATCAGCACTCTAACTGAGTTGATTCATCTGGCTGTTGATTGTTTTCTTCTCTTTTCCTTCCAATTTTTACCATATGCTACGCTGGCTGGAGAATTCTGGAAATTGAACTCCACAAGCCTTAAAGTTGCTAAGTTTGGAGACCTCTGTATTACATAAATACATAAAGGTTCAATCAGACCAGTGGTACACCAATTTGTCTGACCTAGAAATTCAAACTCGTTCAAAAGTATTCCCTGAACATGTTTTCATCAGACTCTCATGTTAGTTCTGCTTCTTGATCTTGTTCTTTAAAATTGTCTGGTGGAATACATTGTTGACAAAGATCACATTGAAAGACCAACTAAGAAATGATGTCCCTAAACATTAATCAATCTGTGGACCAGTGAAGCTGCAATGCAAGTAATCAAAATCATGGTTGGGCGTATAAAGACCTTTTTCTTTATGTACCATGTAATTATGATCTATCTATTTTACATATATATTCAGATTATATTCTAATGCAAGCTTTGTGCAGGATCTGTTCAGTATCAAGTTCTTCTAGACAGCATAACTAGGTAAGTTAAAATATGTTCTTTAATGTTTGTCCTTAATTTGTCTGGACAATATTTTTATCTTGCAATACTATTTTACATGTTTATTAGTTTTTCAGAAAAAGAATTTCACCATTAATTCCCTGAAATGTAATCCTTAGAACATTATAAGTAAAAATATTGTTTGCATTTTTCAAGTAAAACAACTGAAATCTAAAGACCTGAATACCCATCTTGGTCGTATTGTGTCTTCTTAAAAATATTGCAATACTATTGATGAAAATGGTAACATCCTACCTGTAACAGTTGTCATAGCTAAATAATAACGTTTCTAGTTCCTGCTTGAAATTCTTTATCTTAAATACATTATATAAATATGGGCATAGAGAGATAGCAGATAGCAATAGTCATTTGCAGTGACTATCCCATACATTTTTACTTATTCTAACAACAATTTTCAAGCCCTCCAGGCCAATTCCAAAGTGAAGATGTGATGTGTTAAATTGTGATCAGTTACCATTAGCTTTTGTTTAAAAAATATTACATTGTGCTAAGGCTTCAATATCACTTATATACGTGGTAGAAATTCACCAAAAGAAGGAGCATAGCACTGAGATGAAATTGTCACATCATTCGATACCTGCTTTACAAGGAAAGGCATTCTGAACAACAGAAAGGAAAATTGTAAATTTACAAACTTTGATGTTGAGAGGTAGGAAATCTGAGGAATTTGATTCATTAACAAGATTTAGGAAAGTGGAAGATAATGGAAAAATTATTTCTCTATTCTAAAGCAAAAGCAGTATGGAAGATTTTGCTTTAATAAGGATGAAATATTGAGCTATTCCACCTGCTTGTGGACAATGAAATGTTGGTAATTTCTCACCCTGTCACCTTGTTTCCTTGTAAGGATGTCTTTAAATGAACTTTAATGAATGAACATTTTTATCAGTCACCTACCATATTTGAAAACAAAACATTAAAAATAAAAACAAAAGATGAAATGTTACATTTCATGTTGGGTTCATCATTGGATTGTCAAAAGTCTGCCTAATTTTACAGGCTGTGTTACAAAATTTAGCTATATTCAGAGTCTAAATTTTGGCTGGCAGGTGAGGACTTTCCATTGTTTTAGGACTAAAGAGGCTTTTCCCACAGTAGGAAATAGTTGTCTATTTTATTTGTTTGTTTAAAACAGGACTGTCAAACTCGCAGCCAGCAGACCAGATGCATCACGCACTGGCCACGTCCAAGCCCAGTTTAGCAAAGGGGGGGGGGGGGAGAAGTCACAATACATCATGAGATGTTGCCATAACACCGCGAGTTTGACACCTCAATTTAAAACATTTATATATCCCCCCTCCATCTTTCAGACAATTCCGGTTGGCTCCCAACTACACCTTATTTGGGCGAGAAGGGTGGGTATGTGTTGTGTCGCTATTAGAAGCATTTTTCTCATTAGACAGTAGTACAACCCTAAGAAAAGGATGGTTGTTCTTGTGTTGGTGAGGCATTTATGCAGTTGCCTGGGGCTGATCTTTATTCCTTTTTAATTTTAATTACAGGTGTGAGTGGTGGTGAAAAAGTGAGGAGGGGCTGGGAAGAACTTGGACTTTATCATTTTATTATATCACACATATTATTTTATTACTTCTTCTGAATTCAGATCTTTTATTACTTCTTCTGAATTCAGATCCTTAAAGTTTCCCCAGTAAATATATTGGGCATATTTACAGTTATGGAGTGCATAATTGTAAATGTTCTTAGTTGGACAGTATAAGTAATTATTACTTATGTGTCAGAAAAAGAATACATCAGATTCATCAGGGGGGTTTTGGTATGAATTTCTCTCTTTTTTCCTCATTCTCTCTCTCTCCCCCTCTCCCTCCCCCCACTTTTTCATATACCTTATACCCCATGGTGGCATAGTTACCTAATACTCCTTTCTTTTCCTATTTTCCACACAATAGCAACCCGTGAAATGAGTCAGACTGAGAGAAATCACTTCTAAAGCAGTTGATTCTGTATTGGGAATCTGCTGCTAGTATATGCACACAGTCAAAGTATCTGCAATCAATATATTATCTACAATAAGTAGAACAGTATTATGTAAGATCTATGTAAACTTACAGCTCTAAGTCCTGGCACTTCTGATCGAAAGAGAGCAGTGACTTGTAATCTCTAAGCTTTAGCAGGTCTGTCAAATTGGCGGCCCACAAGTTTGATGTAACATGTGCAGGCCAAGCCCACCCTCACTCTACAAAGGCAAAAAAAGCCACGCTACATCATGTGAGATGATCGAGTTTGACAGCCGTGCTTTAGAGTAACGAAACCTATTAGGATTCTTTTTCATTTTATTGGATTATTTTGCTATGACAGTAGGATTAGCCCAGAAATTTAACATTCGATTAGCAGACAAGTAGTCCTTACTTACCTATTACTTTGTTTAGCAATTAAAGCTACAACACTGTAAAAAGAAAATAGCTTTGCAACCAATCCTTTTAGAGTCTATTTATGAGTATCACAGTGGCATTTCAGCTATTCCATGACCAGGAGTCAATCATTCAGGTTCCTCATAACTAGCTTATGAGTCATGACAAGTAGAGTTAATAGACAGTGCAGAAGTAAAATTGTACATTATACTCACATGATGTCTTGCTTTAAAACCATAGTGATTTGCTTAATGACCCAAGGGAAAGCAAGGTTGTAAGCCTTTCACAGTCACCTGATCAGCTTTTCAGTTCCAATTAATACTTCAATTCAGATCTACTTTCTTGATTGGAATTTATTTACATTATTCATTGTATTTGGCTCCCTGTGACAATGAAGAATACTTCTCTGCTATTGGTCCTTAAAAAGCTGTTATGCATGTCTTATCTCAATAAGATACAATAAACAAACAGCATTGCAATCTTAATTTGCTGGTTTTGATCACAGACATGTGAGAATGAATTATTTATGGGAATATTTAAAAAGGTAGAATATTATATTTCCCTAAAGGAGAAATGGAGAAATGTGTTTTAGAGGCAGAGAGCAGCCTCTTTCTTAATAGCCCACAGCAGAGGCCAGCACTTAAGAGATAAAGAATTTATTGAAAGAGGAAGCCAACTATCTACATGGCTCTATTCGTAAGCAAAGCAAATACTGCCAGCAGAAGCCCATTTAGGACAGGATATTTTGAAACTCCTTACAGCAAAATTTGACAGCTAACAAAGGCAGAACAGTTGGATTAGAAAGCAGCCCCTCACCCAAGATCCAACACAGGACAAAAGCCATTAGCCACAATAGGAATTGCCCAACACCCTTTCGGAACACAAGCCCCTTCATTGCACCACCTCCAGAACAGTCCATATGTCAAAGTCACAGAAACTATAAAGATCCATCCACTCATTTGGTCAGCTGTGCCATAAACCTTGGTGGTTTTGTTCATCAATAAATGGACCTTCTTTCCAATCAGCCTCCAACATCTATGTTGTTTCTAGGGCCTTTCTCCCAGCATGGAACTGAACCAGATGGGTTTTCCTTCTAACAGATTTTATAAGCCCTATGATGGTTTCTTTGTATCTAATGGGAAGATCAATTAAGATGGCAGTTTGATTTTTCTGTTCTATTAGTTGATTAGTTAGAGGGCTTATACTATCAAAAGCTGATCTGTTTGTTTTTGCTTTGCAGACCCACAATGTGGCTGGTTTGGGTGGTGATAATCCAACAAGCAGTGATCTCAGAAAAATCTATCAATGGAAGAGATTTGAATCCTGAACTTTTGATGAACATTGTAAATTGCTCATCTAGGTGGTGATAAAAGGGGAAAGATCCTCATGTTTTATTCAGACAGATTCTCAAGAAAGAGGGTTTAATTGACTGAAGTTCCTGACTTTTTTGGTTATTCTGGGAGACAGTTTTGAAATTATTCAACTTTCATTTCCAGATTAATTGAGTAACTCACACAACCCCCCCTCCTCCTTTTTAAGGCCCTCATATACCTTAAACACTACACCAAACGGGCTCTTTTGTAAGATGCATACATCTTGATACTTTGCATCTAATGATACTTTGCATCTAATATATTATTGTTTTTGAAAACCATTTAATCGTAGCTAACTAGCACATTATAATCTCTTCACCATATGTATGCAGCCTGTTAATTCAGGGTAGAGTCAGGACGACTGGATGGACCTGAGAGTTTATTGTCTGGATGCTCTTCTTGATGCCACATGGAGTTCCCAGCAGATATTTTTTCTAAACATCTGCTACTACCGCTGAACATTCTGAGTGGGAAAGTGTTTGTCTTCTCTGCTAGGTCACCATGCTGCTTGATTAAATAACTCATACCGACCATGTTAAAAATGCATGTCATCATTATGGCAATATTACTGAAACACCCACTGCAAATTGTGTTTCTTTCACAATTCTGTGAAAACAGAATTCTCTGCCCTGTCTAGCCAAACACATTCTGTTTGAATAGGCAGAGCATAACTACTTTAGAGTATAGGAAATACTATATGTGGCTGGCTTGACATTAATTTCTAGTTCATGGACATCCCACTGTGTACAAAGGGAAAAATTATACCAGTATTTAAGATATGTGGACTTCAGCTTCCAGAATTCCCCAGCCAGGGGGAATTCATATACCTACAAGTTGCCAAGTTTGAAAAACACTAGATTATAACTCCCCATTCCCATATACGTAGTGGGAAAGAATGGAGCAGGCAAAAAGGAGCAGCTTCATCTAGTAAAAAAACAAAAAAGATTTAGATTGTGAGCAGTTATTTAAAAAAAATATTTGTCATCTTATGAATGGTTAGAGTAGGAATGCTCCCAAACACTATTAAGCTTTTTCAAGGTGTTGTTGATGTATTTTTTTTGCAGAGTGAAATAATTCAATATTGGGGATACCCTAGTGAAGAGCATGAAATCATGACAAGTGATGGCTATTATCTCAAAGCAAACAGAATTCCTAATGGAATACGCAGCAGTGAAAAAACAGGTATTTTGGAGATGAATTATTAATATGGTGACATTTCTAAGGCAAATGCCTGCTAGATTCACAGTTTTAATTCAAGTCAGGAGATGAGAGAAAAACATTTTCAATGTCATGAAGTGACAAGAAAAAAAAAGAGAAAGAGAAGACTAGTGTGGACAAGGTCAGCTTTTTTACCCCCATTCTGACATCCTCTAATTAAGACTTATTATGGTATCTTTAATCTGGTGTCCTTCTATTCGGACTTAATCTGTCATTAATCACAGAGAGTTTTATAACAATTTCAATTTCTTCTTCCCAGTCAATTTGAGAACAAACTCTCCTTTATCACTAACTATTCCAAACATAATTGCTTTCTCCAGTGAATTCTTCCCACACATGACAAAGTAAGTGAGATACAGTTTTGTGATTTTGCCTTTTAGTGACCTGTCTGGTGTTACACACTCCAGTACATGCTTGTTATTTATATTTGATGTCCAAGGAATATGCAGTAGTCTTCTCCACCAGCACCACAGCTAAAATGAGTTGATTTTCTTCTTGCCTTGCTTTTTTAAGGTCCAACTTTCACAACTGTAGGTAGCTACTAAGTCCAACCCATCTTGAATTCCATTGATTCTTATCAGGAACTAATTTAGTATTGAACATTGACTAGATTTTTCTGTAGAGGGTTGGGCAATATATCTTCTTAAGTAGAACTAAAGCATATGGTCCTGATTCAATGTCCCTGACGATATGTAAATGATGTAGATGAGATGAGAATCAGTTTGGGTGTAGTAGCTTACGTGTCAGGCTACAAATTGGGAAATGGTTTGTTTTAGTGCTGCCTAAGGCAGCAAACCAGCTAGATTACTTCGGGCTAATCACCCTTTCTCAGCTTTAGAAGGGGGCAGTGGCAAACCAAGTCCAAAAATCTTGTCAAGAACACTGCAGGGACTAGTGCCCCCTCCCAAACTAAATCAGATCTGGACCCCAGGTCACATTCAGCCCTTTGACTCCTCCTGTCTGGTCTCTGTGAAGTAAATTAGAAATCAAATGTAAATAAGCGAACGCCATGAATGCAATACAACTGCATTGCTTTTAATTTAAAGGTGACTGCTTATTGTTTTTCCTTCAATTTACGTAGGGGTGAGCCTACACCCTTCACAGTAATGTGTTGGCTCTATTGGTTCAGCCTTCCATAACATTCTCACATGGCTCTGGTATTACTCAATCAACTTTGATATGCATCAAAGTTCCATTGATACGAAAGAAACTGGGACAAGTATGGCACCTAAATTATTTTACTTTTTCTTTTAAGGAATTACATACCACTCTGCAAACCCCCACAGCAGCTACAACACAAAATTAAAAAATAAACAATGTACCACACGAGGTGGGAGGAAGGCTTTCCCTTGCAGGTGATCATATTTCCTGGACTAATTGTTTGTTTGTGTAATATAGTGAACCTATGTTTCACTGCTGTCTGTGAAGAAAGCCCTCATCTTCACAGCATGACAACTGCTGACAAATTTCAACTACTGAAGCTTTCATGTTTGCCCCTAGCATGTGAAGAACCCCTTGTGGGAAGAAATATCTATCTAGTTCAGTTCCAAGCTAGGAGAAAGGCACTGGAGACAAAATGGAGTCTGGAGTCTGATTGGAAAGAGGGTCCATTTATTGATGAACAGAACCACATGTTTGTAGTTCTGGTGCAGCTGACCACATGGAGTTGAGAGTGGGGGTATTTATATCTTCTCTTGGGCTTTGCACTTGAACTTCCTTTTCCTGTGCAAGAACATGTATTTTATTGGCTGTTGTCAGACTCCCATGTGGCCATGTACAAATCCTAGGAGTTTGTCTGAGCTAAGTTTGCTTGAAGTTTGAACTGCTGGATGGTTGGTGTGCAACTGAGGTAATGCAATGAAGGGGCTTTGAGAAATTCCTATTATGGCTTAGGCCTAATTCTACCTAGTTAGCGATCTCTTTATCTCTTAAGTGCTGACATCTGCTGATGGCTATTAAGAAAGGTGAAGGCTGCTTTCCAAGAGCATATTTCTCCATTTCTCATCCAGGGAAATACAATTTTCTGTCTTTTTTCTCAAAATATTTCATTCTTTTAGGAGAGGGGTGGGTGCTAACTTGCTACACCATCCTGCTGTCTAATGTTGAAGAATATTATCAGTAATGCGACCAGACTTGGGATTTCCTATAAAATCCCAAACGTCACATCAGTCCATTTAAAGTGATCTGTTGATTGTCCTTAAACCATTTGTTAACTTTTTTCATGTGAAAGTCAATTGTTGCTTGTTAGGAATGTGAGTCACCTAACGGTTATTTGGGTTGGAAATATATAAACTAGGGTAGACATTTTAATACTATGTCTTTAAAAGCATGCTAAATCTGTAATTGGGTGTGGTTCCACAAACGGCCATAAGATTGAGCCAGAAACCTGGGTTGTTTTTAGTCTCAGACGAGAGTCTCAGTGAAGTGAGTGAGTCTCTGTTCCCTTCTGTTGGAAGAGTTTTGCCATTCCTCTATTTTTCCTTATTGACTGTTTTTCTTGGATTTGATGTAAGTCTGTTACTGAACTGTTTTTGATACTGGACTTTGATATTGGAATTATCCCTGGACTGAACACTGACTGATTTAACTGTTAATTGATTTGTGTGGACTTGGCTTAAACGTTTATTGAAAGTAAAAACCTACATTTACTGTACAGTGTATCTGTGTGCTATTTGTGTATTATTCAAACACTTTTCTCACTACGTCTCCCTGTATGTGCTCATTCTCCTAATGGCGAATTACCTCAACATTGCTGTCACAAGTTGTCCACTTTGCTCTGGCTGCAAATAAGTTCATTATTCAGCATCTCAGCTTTTTTTTTTTTTTTTTTGATCCATTCACATTGCTCCTGTCAATATAGTCAGCATAAACAACCTGCATTCAAGTATTAATCTCATTTGAACAGACTCCGTTGGCAATGAAAAATTCAGTCATGACACACTGCATAGTTTCCCTATGGCTTCCATTTCACAAACAATACAATATGCAGGGCTGTCTTAACAGCATTATGGGCCCTGGGCAAAGCAGTGTACTGGGGCCCCTATGACAACTATTCACAGGAATAAAAATGTAAATGGTTGATAAAATTAAACATGTATTTGCATGTTACTATTAATTTTAAAAATGCAGTAAAATATCATAAATATGTTGCTGTATTTATATGATACAAGGTGCACTGAAGGTGCACACAAACAGATTAGTGTGGCGCCCACTGGCAAGTGCCCATCAGGCCCATGAGTTAAGACAGCCCTGGCAATGCAAACTTTTCTCATAGCAACTTTCCAATAATTGAAGTGAAAAAATAGGTGCTAAAGAATTCATCTGAGCTTCTAACATGCCAAGACTATACTGCCATCTATTAGCAATTTATCAAATTGCAAACATTACTTTTCATTCAGTCTTCGTACATTCATGCTCATATTCAGGCTGCAGGTTCCATAGATATCATAAATACAGAATTATGATGTGCCATGTTTATAAAAATACAACGCTCCTTGCTGGAGTGATCCTTAAATGATATAATATTTAATGTTACTTATTTTCAAGGGCCTAAACCTGTTGTGTTACTGGTCTCTGGTTTTCTGACGGAAGGGAGATGTTGGCTCATCAATCTTCCCAGCAATAGCCTGGGATTTGTTCTAGCAGATGCTGGCTATGATGTTTGGATAATAAATAACAGAGGGACTACCTGGTCTAGAAGACACCAGAACCTAACAATTGACCAAGAGGAATTTTGGGATTTCAGGTAAAACTCGGAACAGTTTATATAGTAATTAAATAAAAGCAGATTTTTGCCAGAGAAATGGGTCAGATGTTATAGAATGCGAGACGTATCCTTTAGTAGCTTTTGAGATTGTATAAAGATAATCCTTGACTTAGGACCACAATTGAGCCCAAAATTTCTGTTCTTAAGTGAGACATTTGTTAAGTGAATTTTGCCCCATTTCTTGCCTCAGTTGTTAAGTGAATCACTGCAGCTGATGAGTTAGTAACCCAGTTGTTAAGTGAACCAGGCTTCCTCATTGACTTTGTCTGAAATTCACAAAAGGAGACCACGTGACCTTGGGACACAGCAACAGTCATAACAATAGAAATAGCAATAGCATTTGGACTTATATACTGCTTTACAGTGCTTTACAGCCCTTTCTAAGCTGTTTACAGAGTCAACATATTGCCCCCAACAATCTGGGTCCTCATTTTACCAACCTTGGAAGGCTGGAAGGCTGAGTCAACCTTGAGCCTGGTGAGATTTTGCATTGCCAAATTGCAGGCAGCTGGCAGGCAGCAGAAGTAGCCTGCAGTACTGCACTCTAACCACTGTGCCACCTGGCTCATAAATATAAGTCAGTTGCCAAACATCTGAAATTTGATCATGGGGGTACTGCAAAGTTTGTAAGTGTGAAAAACAGTCATAAGTCACTTTTTTCAGTGCTGTTGTAACTCTGAATGATTACTAAATGAACTGTTATAAGTTGAGGACTACCTGTATGAATTGTCAGATTCATTGGATTTCTGACACTACTTGTCATGCCCCTGTTCAAATCGGACTCAGAAGGAGAAGAGGAACAGCTGACAGGGAGTGGGAGCGTGGCTTTGGAGGTTGTGGAGGAAACTGGGGAAGGGCACAGGCCGGTTGGGCATTCAGAGGAAGACCCGAATCCATCCCTCTTTATCCTAGGGCATGCAGGAAGGAGCGGATAAGGGGGAAACATGAATGGCATGGTCTATGGACAAGGAAAGGGTCCCGATCCCCTTCATGGGCTGCAGCTGTGAGGATTGTTTAAAAGGACAAACTGCACATGGGCCAGTGCTGAAAACAAAGCGTGAAAATATTTCTAGACTTTCAGTTCTTAATGAGTTCTGGCGTCCTTCCCAGTGTGTGTATTTTGATATCCGTGGACATCTTCAAGCCCTTATCCTGCCTTGTCTCCTTAATTGCTTCAGTGTGGTTTGTGTTGTTTTTGTCTATTTATAATTTATATGTATTTTGAGTTTAAATGGAAGTTCTTCCTTTTCTCAACAGTTTGTGGGGGAGTTTTTTCTCCAGTCAATGATAATTGGACCTTTGAAGCCAAGTTGAAGGAATTAAAGGGACATCACTGGTTTTTGTGACTTTGTTGCTTTTGTATCCCACCCTGGGTCATCACACTACTTTAGAGAGCCCATTGGAACATAAAGACATTTTCTTCCAGTTTCAATATCAGTTATTCATTAAGGTTTATCAGCAGTTCAGATTTTATCATTAAAATGCCATTTGAAGCATGGATGTGAACGTAGTGTCTATCTGCAACACTTTAAAGTAGCTGTACTGCACTTTTTCCCAGGAAAGGAAAAAGTGTTTCAGGTGCTCTGAAAATACATGGGAGCACTTTGCCTCCTAATGTTAATAAATTAGTGTTAAACTTCAATGTATATTAGTAGCAAATTAAATATTAAAATGCAGTTACTATATGAGACCCAGCTTGGTTTAGGGATGAACAGCTGTGGACTAGAAGCTGGAAGATGATAAGATCTAATCTAGGGGTGTCAAACTGGATTTCTTCGAGGGGCAGATCAGCATTGTACTTCTCCTCTGTGGGCCGGCTGAGAGGGGAAGAGATGGAACCAGTGGTGGGATTCAAATTTTTTTACTACCAGTTCTGTGGGCATGGTTTCTGTGGCAAGGGAAGGACACTGTAAAATTTCCAGTCAGAGGTTGTATTTATCAGTTCTCCAAACTACTCAAAATTTCTGCTACTGGTTCTCCAGAACTGGTCAGAACCTGCTGAATGTCACCTCTGGACGGAACCCTGTCAGCCAAAATGGGACATGGGGGCACCCGTCGCCCCCTCACGGCCTGTTTTTGTACTAAACGCCCTCCTGCAGCACTTTACCAGCCAAAATGGGGCCTTTTGGTTGGCAGGCTGCTTCAAGAGGCTGTCCAGACTGAGAATGGGCCACGGGGGTGTGTGTGCCCCCCCATGGTCCAATTTGGCTGCCAGAGGCACCATGGGCCTGTCCTTGGCTATTTCCAGGACAGCCCCATGAGCCAGATTTAAGCACCCCACGGGCTGGATCCGGTCCATGGAATTTGAGTTTGACATGCTGTTCTTTTAGGCACAAAACCCCACTAGAAATAAGGTGATGGGACACACCTCTGAATTTTTGAAGAGAAAATGAATTACTGTGGTAATTCACTTAACAATTGTGTAAAGAAATGTTGTAAAATGGAGCAAATCTCATTTAGCAAATGTCTCACTTAGCAACATAAATTTTGGGCTCAATTGGGGTCATAAATCGAGGACTACCTATAGTTATCAGTAGTCAAAGTCGTCTTGAAAGACCACAACAAGTTCTATGTAACCAAAATTGAATCATCTATACAAAAGAGAAAGGTGTGCCTGAAAAAAACCCAATTGCTTGAAGAAGTACTTTTTTAGGAGGAAACAGATTAAGGGAAATAAACAGAAAGAACTTCATAGAGGCTCAACAAACTCAGTTACAAAATTCTGGCAAAGCAAATAGAAAACAAGGAAGGAGGGAGAACAGAAGAGCGTAATACCGAATCTTAAATGGAAGCAAGACTGATCCCTCACTAATATATTCATAAATTCTCTTACTGGTCTGACTTGTTCTTAATTATTAAGGCAGATCCTATAAAGCGTAGAGAAAAATTTAGGGCCTCCAGTTTTCGCTGAAGTGAAGCACAAGGAAGACTCGGCCATGTGAAATTTAAAAAGTGAGCAATTTGATAATGAAACAATCAAAAAGACAGCTGTTATTTTGGAAATCTAATGGGTTTAGTTTAAGTAACTAACTTAACATGTAATAAAAAATTAGTTTTCTTTGCTTCTACGCTGTCTATATCAGGGGTGTCAAACTCGCAATGACATGTCATCACGTGACATCGAAAATTTCAAAAACGAAAATTTTTTCCCTTTGCTAAAATGGAGGTGGGTGTGGCCAGCACATGATGCATCCGGCCTGCGGGCCACAAGATTGACAACCCTTGCCTATGTCATACAAACAGGCCAGAAACCAGGAGAGTATGAGTTTCAATGCCACCTTAGCCATGAAAGCCAGCTGGGTGGCTTTGGGCCAGTCCTTCTCTCTCACAACACAACTCACCTCACAAGATAGTTGTTACGGGCAAAATAGGAGGAGTAAGGAGTGTAAGATGTTCACCATCTTAAATTATTTTTCTAAAAAAACAATAAAGGCAAGATTTTTAAAAAAACTTGCAGCCTTCTGCCTTTTTTTTTTTTTACCCTTAAGCTATAAAGGTTAACTTACCCTTAACCTTATGGTACCATATGACTATTATTAAGTGTTGTACAGGGGTGGGTTTCTACCGGTTCTGTCCACCTCTGTAGAACCAGTAGCTCTAAAGAGCAGCAGACATAGAACTGGTTCTGTCTGCTGATATTTTTGCCCACCCACCTACTCAGGCTCTTACCTGATCTTTATTTCCTGATTTTTCAACTTCAGCTGCCGAACGAGGCACAGCTGCAGTTTAAAAAGCAGGAAAAGAGGGCTGTTTCAAAGGTTGCTTCTCTGCACACAGCGTGCTGATGATGATTTACAGGCGCGAGGCTCGCAGCGTGCAGGGAAGTACATCATAAAACACCAAACCTCGTAAATCCCAAACCGGTAGTTAACCCTGTCGTATCCCATCCCTGGTGTTGTACCTTATGATTCTTGACTCTTGAATGTATCTTTTCTTTTATGTACACTGAGAGCATTTGCACCAAGACAAATTCCTTGTGTGTCCAATCACACTTGCCAATAAAGAATTATATTCTATTCTACTCTATTATACAGAATAAATCTCAGCAATGTTTTGTGTCTTTGCTTGTGTCCCTCTATTACAGTTTTCATGAAATGGCAATTTATGATATTCCTGCAACTATAAACTTTATTCTACATAAGACAAACCAGGATAGTTTATATTACATTGGCCATTCTCAAGGAGCTTCATTGGGTAAGTTAAGAGTGAATCATATTTCATCCTTGCATCTTTCTCAAACAGTCAATGATCAAGCAGCATAGAAATATAGCTGTTTAATGATCAACAATATTTTTACCAATGTATTGTGAAATATATGGCCCAAAGTATAAGCCAGAAGTTAAAATATAATAGTCTCTTGACAGCAAGAAATCTATCTTGAATTCTTGAAAGATGATAGGGAGCAGAATAGATAAGATAAGTAGGTAGGCAGGCAGGCAGGCAGACAGACAGACAGGATAAATGCAAATAACTGATTTATTTATTTCTCTTTTTTTTCTGAAAGATGCTGCAATAGTGAAGAAACTAAGCCAGCCATGAATATAGGCTTTCTATTTGCCTGTTACAGGCACGGCAATAATGTAGGGAAAGAATGAGATTGAAATTTTAACTCAAGTTAAAGTTAAGCAAAATGTGGACATCAAGGCTTTGTGACAAACATTGCATTTGGTCTTCTGCAATTAACCTCCCAACCAATAGAACTTGGTGGCCCTTGATCCTTACTGGAGATAATCTTTAGATTATCTTTTGCATTTAACTATGAGATGCCTGGGTACAAGCAAAGCCCTCTCATATCCCTTTATTAGCCTCCTATTTACATATATTCTGCTGCAAAGAAAAGAAAGCCACTCTTATAAAAACAACAATAGGATTAGGAGGAGGAGGAGGAGGAGGAGGAGGAGGAGGAGGAGGAGGAGGATAGCTGGCACTTTCTTGCAAGCTTATCCATTATGTATCTATCAATCTTGGAGCAAACACCA